CAAGAGAGCTCTTAATTTGAGGAGCACGATGTTCCCTTCTTGGACAAGAGCTTCAAATTGAGAAATAGTGTCCTGCAACAATAGAAGCTGTTCTACAGGGTTCCGAGCAGGAGGAGGTGTAACCTTGAAAGCTTCCAATTGCTTCCCTTTGTTCCGATACTTATGCCAAAGCATTAGACTAGCAAGGATAAGGAAAATGCAAGGCATGAAGTACTTTATCCAGCCCCTGTAAGCCGTAGATATGGGTCAAAGTGCAAGTCTTTGTGATCCATGTGCCATGTTATAACCTATAGAAACAACTACTTTCAAGTAGTGAGAGAATCGCTAAAATATAGAAATACAGAGGAATCATTCTTCAAATAATTATGCATAATTCTGATTCAGGGACCCAAGAATCAAACGAAATTGCAGTGTTTTAGCAAAATAGATAAAAAATCCAAGGATTCCTATACATTAAATGTCAACATTCAGCTTGCGTATTGCATAAATCTGAGTTTGCATAAGGACGCATGCATAAACCATTGTATGAGAGAGAGAGAGAGTGTGAGAGAGAGAGAGAGAGAGAGAGAGAGAGAGAGAGTCACTGTGTTGACATCATCCAGCGGTGGTCTAGATGAGTGGTCTAGATGAGTGCATAAAAACTTACTAGCAAGAGGTTACAAGTACTATGATTACATCTCAAAGGGGTTAAAAAACATAATTTTTTTCCAAAAACAAAATCCTAAAATTGGGGATTAGGTATTTGGTTTCAAATAAAGTTAATAATCCAAAACAAAAATGAGTGAGTCACCATTTACATCCAAAATATTTACTCTTTTAAGTTCAGATAAAGATAAAGTATTTCTTAAAGGAAAAGTTTCATTTTCGAATTAGATTACCTACTAAATATTCCCAATCAAATACCAAATGAAGTTGTTTATCATAAGAGGAGATAGAGATTGAATTGGATTGGGAGGTAGGTTACTCTAAACTGCCACTTTGTAGGTTCCCCCTCAACTTCAAACTCACTCTCTCCATAGGGCCATTTCTTTTTGAATGCCACATGTCTCTACCCTTAATTCTGCTTAGTAAATGTAGAATAAAACAGATATATTAATTTATTTTATAAAATAGTAAAGCAAATTAAAGTGAATTATACAACTGAAAGAAGAAAAGTAGTTACTACTAAGAAACTGCGTAAAAAGAATTACCAGAAGATGGCATAACAGAATATGACCAGAAACACAGTGGACTTGAAGGTGTCTTCCCATGAGACCAAGAAGTGGATCTGTTTTGCTGATTCAGTCACAGGGAAAAGTAATTCCTGAAAGTATCAAAACATGACATTTGAAAGCATTCGCATGCCATCAAAACCAAATAAATAGCAGCTTTACAGTCGATAATACTGAGCGGCCAAAATTGCTCATATCTATTAGAACTTCATACAAATCCACATGTATCTAAAGCTGCAGGCTACTATGAAACAATTTTTTATGGGTAATTAAAACAGATTAAAAATATTTATTTACACAGCATATTCCATCATCATCTGAGCCTTGTCCTGACTACTTAGGATTGGCTAATAATGTTGGATCAGGATTCATAATAGGGATGTAGCCAAACTTTTCCACTGGCTGCCAACCTAACACAACCCTCCTCTCTCATCTGGGCTTGAGACCGGCAATCGCGGGGCTATACCGCATATTCCATAAAACCCATAAGTTCCTTGTAGGGAAAAAAATGTACAAGAAATCACTAGGGAAAAATTGGAAGAAGCATAGTTTTGTCAGAAAAATATTTTTATGCAGACAAGCTAAAAAATTGCCTAAAATGGGAAAGATGCACCTTACATCATCCTCAGAAAACAGTCACAACTGTTGTTGTTCTTTTAGTATTCAAATTTACCTAAATAGATTAACCATTTGCCAATTTGACATACAATCATGCAGGCATTAGTAAAAAATAGCCAATTTGGCAGGTGCAACCAGATTCAACAGAACCATAACCCAATTTAGTCATGGCATGCCAAAGTGGTGAACTGGAAGGGTAATGTCCTTTCCCCGGCTAGACTAACCAAAAAAATCCCATCCTACATTTTTGTATTTTGCGTTTTGCCTACCATACTAGCTGACTCTTTGTCTACTTTTGTCGTTTAAATTAAGAAATCCCCAAAAATGCATACAAATAAACAAAGAAAAAATCCCACTTGCCTAACCAGCTGAATCACTTTCTGATTCAACTATATTACAGGGGATAAACTGAAATTACAAAAGCAACTGGTGAACATACCACTACATACCATCATTACGGCCAAATTAGTATCGATCCCCTCCACTTTCACTTGGTTTACAGTTTCATGTGCTGCCTGAGCTCTTCCTAGGTCATATTTTGACTTTCTCACTGCCAATTCAAGAGTATCAGTCTCACCAACAATGATGTTTCCATCCAAAAATGGTGCCTTTTCAAAAGTATCTATCTCCTTAATTAGTGTAAAGCCAAGTTTTGCCAGTGTTGACAAAGATGATGCCTTATATGAACCAGACGAATGCTTTGTGGCATTCTCTAATGTTTCCATCTTATCATCAGATCTTCCAGTACTAAGCAGCTCCAGGAGATTTGATAGGGCTTCCAAAATTTTATCCCCTCGTGGAAGTTTTTCAGCTAAGTTGAAAGTAAGAGGTGTTTTGAAACTGGATGGCCAGATATGGAAAGCTTCCTTCACTGCACGAAAGCGAAAAATGCCTAATATTGCCTTTGAGAGTGCCTCTGCATGTGGAATATCTTCAAGATGGAACTTCCTTATAAATCTATTCACATGCAATACCTCTCGAATAATTTCCAACCAGTAGTCACGTCGTGAATGACCTTTAAATTCAGGGAATTCCATCAAAACGGGCTCTGTTCTGTAGAATGTTTTTGTTAGAGATTGTTTCAAGATCCGCATGCATTGACAAAGTAGAGAGACCCATTTTTTAAAATGTATGATAGAGAGAAAAAAACATTTGATAATGAAAAGTACAAACATACACAGATGTTGACTTATATATCACAGCCTTGTCAAAGAGCCGTGCACCCAATGGTCCAGTCAAATCAGGCTTTACCACTTGTTTCAAGTCTTCTGATAAGTCATATTTAACAGGTTTATCATATAAGCCTACTCCCAATGACTCAAAGTATAAAGCGCGATTAGTCAATGTTAAGCGCCCTGCCACAAATAGAGCTTCTTAAGTTATCCAACAGATAAGCAGAAAGAAAAGCTATTGCCTTAGAACATAACATCAGGGAGGCAAAAAGCAATCTGATCAAGTGAAGTGTGGTATTTCAGAATAGAAGGGTTTCACATTAAATAATGCTCACCAGGCCATGCAGATATTCCTATGTGTTGAAATACTGGTTGAATAGGAACATTGCCATCAACATCTAGGATGATTTCTCCCTCTTCAAGTGGAAGGCTCGAAGCCAATGGAGGCCCTGATAAGCTCTTTGCATATTTAATTGCTCTATAGTACACAAACAGATATTCATCACTAGAAATCATGTGCGCCCTGACATATCATGCCTATTACTGAACTGCTACACTTGTTGGTTTTGCATTTGATAAATTCCCTTGCAAAACTTAAATTGGACCCGCAACTAGCATCTTTCTAAATAAACACAAAAAAGCCTCTGTAATACTTGAGATGTGCCAATGTCTACAGAAAACTCCCCAGCCAAGGAACAACTATCAATGAACATGTGAATTCACTGCAGTCCAATTGCAGGACATAGATTTTCTAGAACATTCTAGATAATCTACAACTCCTGTTTAAGTAGCAACCTCTTGCATAGGGCTCTTGCACTGATGGCTTACTCCATTTGCCATAAAATTATCGAGAGCATATCTCGGTTTGTTTCACCAAGAAATGTTCTTGAACCTCTTTGACAATAGCGTGCATTTAATATTAAGATCACCCCCAATTCATTAGCCCAATTCAGATTCATGAATCTCATATCAGCATTTCATTTTCATATTTTTGTTGAAGGCTGCCCTTTATACGCATGGTGAAAATATCAATCACTATGTTCCATAGCAGTTGAGAAATATTTGACACAATTAAATAGCTTCTCAATTGAGTGCAGCATACAAAGTAAGATGCATACTTGTCAAGGCTTCCAAGGTATTTGTCATATACAAGAAAATGGAGTTGTCCCCTGGAAGAACTCGTCAGTGCATCGAAAAGATTGTGAACAGTGATTATATCTGCCACAGCTGGACAAGCAGGAGCAATTCGTGAGAAAGCCTCTGGCCCAACAGTTTTCTTTTTGTCTACCTAGACAAGCAAAACAAAATGTAGAGATAATATTGATACTTGCTAGCTATTGATAGAAGAAAGAACATGGTATTTTCTGTTCACACAAGTAACCTGATGTCCTAATAACATATACAACATGCAGCAGTTTCTACACAGAAGCGTATGTAATTGTCATAGACAGAAGATGCATATTTTATAATTAGAATATAAAATTAGTGAGAAAGGCAACAAAGAAACATGAGAAGTCTATTTATAAAAAGGGGAAAGAAAAACATGGGAAGTATCATAAGTCTCAGAGAAAAAAAACTAACCTGAACTGCCATGCTAATGGAATTCAAATAAAATAAAGATCCCACATCTTCATCATCACTTGGGAACTTCCGAGGTGGAGCCTCCTGTCAAAAAGATGACCAAATAAATTAAGGAGGTGTACAATGTACTAGGCATAATCTCTGTGTGCTACCATATGCATTTCTAAGAGAACCCTTAAAATGAGGCCATAACTAGTAGCAGTACCAAGATTATTCCATTAATAAGAAGAAAGGGAGTGAAATACAAAGAAGTGCAACTTGTACAAGCTGATGAGTATTCATTGCGACAACAATTGTTTATCTCACTTTGATTAAAGATTCACTGCCAATAGCAGGGTCTTCCCAAGCAAGCATCATATCAAATGTCAAGCGCCTGAAATCCTTATCACATAAGTGATCTGGACATTGAGTCAGTACACCTAGTGCTCTGTAGGAGCAAAATTCTAAAAGATTCCGAGCATAAGAAGAAGGTTTCTTGACATTATCGGAAATCTTAGTCTCAAATTGTTGCTGCAGTTGTTCAGGTGAGAGAAGAAGAATCCTGCAATTGCATGATAACACCACTTTTATGCTCAAGTCAATGAATGAAATGGGAATGGAAGCT